CAAGATAGAAATTACCACTCATTAAGCTCACTATGTCAGGCTTACCGGGCGATAAGTGATTGGTACCAGTTTTACTATTTGGTATGCCTATTGCCTGTTACTGGTATTGTATCTTTCTCTATTTTTAAATTTTATTTCAAGTTGACAGTTGTCAGTAGTTGCTTTTTCTTATATTTCTTTCTATTTCTCCTCCATTGCCTCCGTTTCCTCCACCTCATCTTCTCCTCCTCTTACTTTGCCTCCTGTTCTCCTCCTCCTCATCCACATTGCCATCACTGCCTCTTCTTCTCCATATCACCGTTATTGCCTTCTCATACCGGTATGTGTCGCGTCCTCTTTTCTTCTCTTTGTCTAATTTGGTTGTATGCCAATTTATGCTAGTATTGTATTGATCCGGCCACAGATTGGTATCAGTTTGGAACCTATATTCTAAACCATGTGTTGCATCATTTGTTATAATTGATTCACCTTATTTAATCGGTACATGTAGATCTAGAATAACCGTGAATATTGTGCCTAAATCTGTTATAAGTTAGGCTTGTTAAATCATTTTTTGCAGGTAAATAATTTTTTGCAGGTTGATAGAGTAGGGGAAACGGCATTCGAAAGAAGTTCACGTAGGGTTTCTTTCACTTTCCGCAAGGTTTGCTTATACTTACAATTTTTTGTTCATCTTCAGTATCTATTTATTGAGTTGGATAGAAAGAAGTATCGGGGGTGAACTATTCTTAAGCATTTACAATTTTGCTTTGTTGGAAAACACATTTCCCATACAATAGATGAAGTATAAGGTTGCTTTGTGTAGTTTTTGTTTTCCTTAATACCTCTATTTATGATTGTAATATTCTGGTGAATAGCACCAATTCTTATTAAATAATCTGTGTAATTTTTTTTAGTAGATCTTTTATTTGTTCTAAGTAAAATATTTTTTTTAAGGGTAACCAGTGATTCAAAGAATTTGTAAGACAAATTTTGGATCCTCAACAAGTCGGGTACACCATCACCATACCAATACTTTGAGTATAGAATATTTAGATGAGATTTCGAACCCTTAATCCAAGTTTAATAAATCGAGTACCCCTCATTGGACTAGCTTATTGGGGGTAGAATTTAGAGAATGAGGAATCAAACCATCAACCTAAGATAAGTACCTTTACCCAACTAATATTCAGGTTTAGAATAAACTTCTTAATCATGTATGATGTTTTATTTTAATATTATAGTACAATCGAGGTTCGTAATTTCATACCGTGTCGGTGTATCGAGCTTTGCTCGGTATGGTACGTTATGGGCGTATCGAGCAGTATGCTAAGGTGTATCGCTCGGTATGTATATATATAATATAAAAATGTAATAATTATAAAAAATAATATATAAAAATAAAAATAATAAAAAAAGGAGACATACGCTGCCTTTGTGGTGTTGCCTCCTTTTCTTCTCCTCGTCGCGTCAGATGAGGAGAAGAACGTGGTCTTCTCCTCATTTGCGACGTTCGACGAAGACGTCGAAGGTCGCAAATGTGTCCTACTTTTGGCGAAGAACACGGTGAAGGCCGTAGGCATCTCTGGCCTTCGGTGAAGAACGCGATGAAGAAGTCGAGCCGCCACCACTCTGTTACCTCCTGGGTCGGGATCGTCGAGGGAGGGCGACGTCGGATCGGGAAGCATCGAGGTTCTCCCGATTCTCCCTTTTCTTCAAGTGCCTTCTCCATTTTCTTTGAGCGCCTTCTCCCTCTTCTCCCTTGATGCTTCTTCTTCCCTCGTTGCAGCTAGGCTGATACCGCATGGTAGCGGGCGACAATGGTCAATTACCGACTTGTTTCGAGCGGTAACGGTTGAAATATTGATCGTTACCACTTGATACAGCCCTGTATCGTCCGATACAAGGCTAGATCAACGGTACCACCTGGTACAAGCGGAATCATTTAGTGTTGTAGTCCTGAGTACAACTATAATTTAGTACAAGATTTATCATACCACAACATACTGCTCAGTACGGGCGATATGTACCAATCTGACAAGGGGTGGTATATTGGTATGTTCCATGTATCGTGTGTTGGTACACTTGGTATGGCTTAGTACAACTCGGTATGTACCGTACCAATAGTTTGTCGGTACATCGGTATGGACCGGTAAGACGAACTATGATTTATTATAGTGTAGTTTTAGTGTGTGGTATGAAGTTTATAAATAGTATGCTTCTTGTAGCATATAGTAAATATCTGCTATTACATTTCGTAGCCTTCTGAATATAATGAACCACATTAACAATACCATGAGCAATCACCTGTATTGCCATTCTAGTTGTGGCACTGTAACTTTTTTGTCCTCTATATAAATCTTATAAACTTCTAGTTTCTGCACACGCTATTAACTAACGTGCTATATGGTATGGGTTGACATGAACGCTTGTTCCAACTTGTTGGTATTGCCTATGCACCTTGTTGGTATTTCATATGCACCTTGCACTTTTTTTACAAACTTCTCTGGTCAGTTAGTAGTTGGAATTCGACCGTGATCATTATGCCTCATTTCTCTATTGCAAGCTTTTCAAATAGTGTTAGTTAGATCTAGTTTATTAATTCAAAGAAAGATACACGTCATTGTAGGTTATGAAAGGATCATGCTGCTGTCCATACAAGCAGTATTGTGACTCTCAACTGGAATGTAGAAATCAACAGGTAAAACAAGACATAGTCCAATCATCTCTACCATTGAAACGAGAAGCATTTTGTCCAACAGACACTGACCGAATATAAAGGTAAATTTCAGTTTTTCACTTAGTCATTTGTTAAATTAAATTAAGATGCAAAGAATAATGAGGAAAAAGTTAACCTTTTGAATGTTGTGCAGGTTTCTAACCATGATTATCCTGTGACAACCTGTGTTGATTGGACTCTAAATCAGGTGCACTATGATGAAAGCCGACTTTTATAATCACCTCTCATAACAATCATTCAGTTGTAACATCTTCATGTTGATTCTTTTTTCTGGAGCTGAGATGGCTGATAATGAATATTCGGAGATTTTGTTTTCAATTTTTCCTTTAGCTGCTTTTGTGATTCCCGGAGAAACTCTTGCAGACTTATTTTGGCACAATATGATTGTTGTGTCGTGTTTTGGTTTCTTTCTTCTCCTATCTTTGAAACATTTTAGTTCAAGGAGACACATTTTACTGGATTTTCTTGATTTTGTTGTATTAAGTGTTGTGCTTATAGCTTTGGATCCAATGCCCATACTAAATAGGGAAAAGGGGGCACCAGTAAATTCTGCATGAGATGTTCGAATATCTTACTGGGCATTGGATGATGTACTTATGGGCTAATTATCTTGTGGCCAACTTAAAGCTGCAACCATTACGAGGAAGTGATCAATTTGATGTACTTATGGGCTAATTATCTTGAGGACTTTATTACAAGACCATCTTATGGGCATGATCATCTTGAGGACATGAATGATCTTGAGGACTTGATTACAAGACCATCTTATGGGTATGATCATCTTGAGGACTTGATTACAAGACCATCTTATGGGTATGATCATCTTGAGGATTTGATTACAAGACCATCTTATGGGCATGATCGATCTTGAGGACTTGATTACAAGACCATCTTATGGGCATGATCGATCTTGAGGACACGACAGGCTTCATGATGCAATCGGACTCGATGGCATTCTCAATATTTTGTGGGCATGACCATCTTGAAGGCGTGACTAAGTAATTGTTTTAATAATATAATAGACTTCAATGTATGATCATCTCGAGGGTGCAATCGTGTGACCATCTTGACGATATGATCAGCTTGAAGGTGTGCTCATCTTGATGACGCTTCTGAGTTGAGGGTGCAATTGTCTAAAGCTTGTGATCGTTGTAATGACGTGTTTACCGTGAGAAAGCAATTAATCCAAAGAGGTGAGGTCAGGTGGAGGGGCAATTGTTGTTGGCTTGAAGGTGCGTCTATCTTGACTTGACAATGCATTTGATTTGAGCACTGCCTAGAGGTTGCGATCGTTTTCACGACATAGCTGTCTTGAGAAAGGAATCAATTCGGAGAGGTCAATCAAGGGGGTGCAATTGTCTTCGAGGTGTAGTTGACTTGACGATATGATCGGCTTCAAGGTGTGACCATCTCGACAATGCGTCCGACTTGAGGGTTCATAACAATGTGGCTCATCTTGAGAAAGCAATTGATATGAAGAGGTCAAGTTGAGGGGTGCAATTGTGTCGAAGAGGTCAGGTCGACTTGACGTTATGATCGTGTTGTTGAAGGTGCAGACTATCTTGACAATTCATCCAATTTGAGGGTGCAATTGTCTGGATGCATCCATGACTATTTTAACAATGTGGCTCTTTTGAGCAAGCAATTAATTCGGATAAGTTGGGTCGAGGGGCAATCATCTTGAATGTGTAGTCGATTTGAAGGTGCGACCATCTTGACGATATATCCGACTTCAGGTTGTCCGTCCGGAGGCTGCAACATATTTGTCTTGAATCCACAAAGGTCTGGGATGCAATCATATTGAACTTGACAATATATATATAATCGACTTTAAGTTGCGACCATATTGACAATGTGTTTGACTTGTGGGTGCAACCGTCGTAGACGTCATAACTGGACCTTATTTTTTTTAATATAAAATTAGATTTAATTGTTCGATGGGTTATAAATATCAGATTTTGATAATAAAATTAATTAATAAATTAATTTATTATTGATAAAAAAAATATTTTGATTAAAGATTAAGACTACCAATCAATCAAATGTTGAGTGGAATAGTCGAATATTGTGCTTGAAGATTATCGTGCTAAAACATTAAATGTCTAATTAAGGATCGAATTTATTGTTAGAAGTTCTATGGTCAAAGGATCTCTTAATACGGTTGATATGCTAGAGGATAAAGTCATGTATCAAAGACACGAACGAATTATCGAAAGATCGGATGATATGTTAGAAAAGTAAACAACGGGCCAAAAGCCTTAAAAATGTGTCGGATGAGACATTTATGAGTCAAGGTTTTGATCCATGTCATTTCGAACTAATTCAAGTTCGATAATAAGCTAAAATAGAGCTCACTTATTATATCTAACGCATCGAGAAACATTTATGTGATTAAGAAATATGACAAGAAAGCTAATCTTCCATGGAACCGGCGGCAACTTTACGACACGAAGAATTGCATGGATACGGGCAGTCGATCTTCCTTACAGCAGAACTCCGACCGAAGTACCAGTCTCCCACAGCCTTCCCAATTGGCTGCAAGAAAGAACAGATATGATCATCACCATGGAATTCCCATTTCTGACACGAGTGATGAAGTTTTCACAGAGCTGCTAGAGCTTACAGTGTTATCGATCTTTGGAGAATCATCTGAATACCAGATATCCGCATCTCCAGATAGGCAATGAGTGTGGCATGAGAGGATGAACAATCCCGTAGACGAGCTGCCTGCTCCCGGCAGTGCGTTCAGGAACGTTGTCCTGAAACCTGATATCGACGTATTAGCTCACTCTTTACACACGAAGAATAAATTGGCAGTTGACATAAATCTAGAATTACTCGCCAGCTGATCTACAAGTTCTTCAAAGATCAGTATTTGAATCGCCTAACGTAGACAGCCACTACTGACACATCACACCCATTCGGTCGACAAGTGAAACCTCGTCCCACGGGTCGATGGCATGGCACAAGATGACCCCATGAGTTCAGTCACACAACATTGACGGAAAGGTTGACCCGATAAAATTAGTACTTTATAATCCATTATCATCGACATTTACCTGTACCAAACAGTTGACTATCACGTTATAAAAGGGTTCTCTTTAACTTAGGTATTTAACTGAATCATCAGAACTCTTACTAGCCTAAGTATCAAAAGAACATTTAGCTCTTTGTAGGGTCTATGCCTAAGTTCCCGGCACCTTAGGTTAAGACAAACTCGAAAATAGATATCGATTAGTTTCGAACCCGAACTCACACTTGTTGGACAAGGATAACACATATGGTAACACCAACCTTGCAGTTTCTGAAGTTGATCCGAGGAACATTTCTTGATATCGAGCTTGCAGTCTCCCCAAGTGTTCTTCGGATCAGCAGAGGATGGCACTAAAATATGATCGATCTGCGAATAGGTAACATACGTCACATCGTAGAAACCTTCACGAGAGTAGTTTATAAGATAATATAGCTCATTAAGTTACAACCTGCCATTGATCATATGCTGCATTGAGGATAAAAAGGGGTGTCTTCAATGTGGCCACCACGTTCTGTGGGAAAAAGCACTGCATGTATTCACGTAACCAAAGAGTAAGTTAGATGACTTGATGACTTCTGTATTCGTTCCAGAGTGAAAGTACACTTCCCACCTTGTTTGCTGGTAACCTCGACGTGCATGAAGATGGCAAATTATTTGCTGATCCCTTCAAAACCAGAAAGCACCACAGAATTATCATCACAAAAAGTTAGAGGGAGTCATCAATCAGGAGCATGGAAGGTCAGAGCATACATGAAGTTTAACAACATCACCATAAAAGGATTGGATCGCGTCTGCTCCAGAAATATCCTTCCTGTTCATAGAAACCTAGTACTGGTTAACGTCAGAGCCAGAAAGAGATTCAGAGATCACAATCAAATTAACATATATTAGGTTAGACATCGACTCAATCCAAAAGTTTAAGCCATTTGAGTACAGACAAAACCTAGTATATGTAAACTTAGCGATAAACGACTATCCACTCAATCCATCTTTATTATCTTACACACATGAATATTTTTGGTTTAACTCTCTTTATCTCGTATGTATATATGTGAATATTTGCAACAGTAGCCCGACGATGAGATTCGTGACGCGGACTAAAGATGTAGAACTTACGCATCAATGAAATAACCAGCATCGGAGAAGCATTTCACTGTTGCAGTAGCTGGGAGAAGACTGCGGAAGTTGTCACAATGTAGTATGGTTGTCAATCCACCTGCCGAGCAACCACCGAGAAGTGCCTGCGAGCATTCACCAATGTTAGAACAGAAACTTTGAGAGTGATAAGACTTGACCACTTTACATCTACATACCTTTTGTGCTTTGTTCATCCCCTTCGCCAATAGATCTTTCATTATAGCTCTCCAAACTCTGGCTCCTCTGAAGTGGAGACCTGTAGCCTAATCAAACGAAGATGTGAAAGACATGTTATCGATACAACGTTGCTTAGCAAGGAAATGAAACATATATCAGAAGAAACATCGGATTAGGAGCTCACAGGATCTACTTTTTCTATGTCCCCTGTAAATGAGGCACCATCACAGTACCGAATCTTGACCCGGTTCCAGTTATAGAAGTCTGCAAGCATTGCAAGAATCAAAGCAAAGAATAAGACAGCAAAAGCTCCATATTATTATTGTTGTTGTTGTATTCGATGGCATCATTCGAATGATACAATGAAAGTTAAATCTGACATGCATCAAGAAATTGTGTTAATAGTACATTGGTAGAGAAGGAAGATTAATCATACCAGGATTGCTTTGCTGAACGCCTCCTAACATGCCAGAGAAGGATTGAGGCGGCATATGATCAGAGGAACCTCTAAAAGTGTTTTTACGTGCTAAGCATTCTTCAACAGTGCTGCACCAACCTCCTCCCTGCAAAATGAGGGAGGGATTTATTCGGTGACCAAGGATAGATTATTTCGAAACATGGATGTTCCAATGGATTTATAATATCCTTCGATATAGTATGGTATTGTAATACTCCCGTTACTCACACATTCAAGATGGACAAAATTAAAATTAATTTATAAGAGTCTAATGAGTATATTATTATTAACTTTTATTTAAATATTTTAATTAATAATTTAAGATAAAAAAAATTAATAAACCAATTAACTCACTAAGTCAACCGTTTATCGGTTCAACAGTTTGTCTTCACTGATTAGGGTAAATTGACTTTGCTCATCAATGTAAGGCCTGTATTGTCTTGTACTAATATTTTTTTTTTACATATATTTTTAAAATTTAATATATTCTGATAATATTTATCAGTATACTGATACAAACCGATATGATACATTAAGGATATATGAAATTGTGAATCTTGGTGTGCATTTCTCTTTTTTAGCAAATAGAAACATAATTAAAAAAGAATACAAATCTTGTTACTTCATTTTCAGCAGTGAATGTGCAAAATCTACTTTCACTTTACATTTTTTTGTCTATCAAAGAAAATTTTTGCATCTACCGTGTAGTAAAACAATCTATCTATCTGTTGTTGCATGTAATATAGAAGACTAAGACTGGGAAACCTACAAGGAATTGAAGTTCTACAAGTTCTAAAGATAAATCATGATCTAAAAGGCATTCCAATCACCATTTCTACTGCCAAAGCTCACGCTTCAGTTCTAGATGTTGAAATCAGGTTTGACAGGCATCCTATGTTGACACAAATCATATATGCATACAACATATAACCAACAATTAATCGAAAACGTACCAATCATAATGTTTGCGTACTACATCAAGAAAATAAACTGACCTCGACGAAAACCAACCAGTTATTTGCACCAGAGCCAGAACCAGGGGCGAGATTATATGCTGGAGCACTTCCATCCAAGCAAACTGGAAAATAAGAAGATGAGTTCACTTGGAAGCTGCCGTGGGTAGATGTCCAAGAATGAACTTGTTCGGATAACTATCATAGCAATGAAGAAGATAAGATCCAAAAGAGAATCCATGGGTACACAGACCTGCTCCTTCAGCTACTGCACCTTTCAACACAGTCATGGGCACATTGTCACCTTCAACTTGTAGAAAGGCCAGTAGATAGAGTAAGCAGATGAGAGGGCACACCCATGTTCCTGATTTAACACCAACCATTCTGCAACATCGATTCGAATCTGTTAGCACAGAGGACAGAAAAGCCTACAGGAGGAGTCGAAAGGCCATTCTGTACTTCATTAGAAATAGAAATCTATGAGAATCCACGGGATAATGCAAGACAGGGCCTCAGAGAAACATGCAAGCTGAGAACGAGGAACTTAGAAGAACTAAAAAGACCTGAAATTTAGTGGCGAAGCACTGCGCACAAACCGCTTCGCGATGAGCTGAGAACACTTGTAAGATGGAGAGGAACTCGAGATCTCGGCCGTGCTCATTATTAGCTGTGCAGGAAGGGAGACTCTTTAAAAGATTTTGCTGTGCACTGAGTTTTTGGCATAATGATTCCTGGAATCGTAGGTGTTAAAAGACGGACAGCAGAATTTGGAAGGTACCGATCAAAGAAACAAAAACATTCAAATATTCATTCACTAAATAGCAAAGATGGAGGAAAGAATGAATAAGATGGAAAGATGACGCAAGAAGAATATTTCGTGAGCAATTATATTATCATTTTGAAGGTTCATGTATCGGTTATGCACGAACTCTCAGGACTAATTATAGATTATTCTCTATAACTAATTATTTTTATAAAAAAATAAGGATTAAAATTATAGCAAGAAAAGGAGATTTTACGATGAGGTTACTCCTTTATCATAATTATAGTCTCTATATTTAGATATACATTTAACTCCTGGGAGTCTTACACAGATTAATTACATATTTTTCTATATAATTAGTTATCTTTAGTATTCTAATCGTTATATTTTCAAAAATTACACTAGGATCCCTATATTAATGAAAGTGAAATATTTAACTTTGTTTCTTCTTACACCGTCGATTTTGTTGATGGAAATACCATATACATTCGGTGGTAAATTGAAGTCAGGCAGAATTAATACATGCTTAGTGATAAATCATATATTATTTTCATCAGTAAATCGATGATGTGAGAAAAAAATAAAATAAAATGTTTCATTTTTATAAATATAAGAATCGTAATATAATTTTTAAAATTATAAGGATCGGGATACTAAATATAATTAATTATATGAGATAATATATAATTAATCCGTAAGGCTCTCTGGGAGGTAATGTGTTTCTAAATTTAGAGATTATAATTATGGTAAAGGAATAACCTGATCGTAAGACTTACCTTTTTTGTCATTATTTTAATCATCGCACCTTTGTTATTATAATTATAATTAAAACTCACGATGAATATGAGTTGCATGAAAGTTATTAGGTGAGGAACAAATGGTGATATGGATTCAGAAATTTTAATATTTGTAAAGTGATACTGTCATTCGGATTCTTTTTGGATTTTGATATGAGATTAATGTATCCCAAATAAAACAATTCATTGCACACATTCCGACGATTCATAATGGATTGAAACCTAAAGAGAAAACCTAAATAGATGATTTCTTGAAAAAGTTTCTAATTTTAAACTTTTCTTAGAAACGTAACTCTAATTTTTACCTTTTCTATTTAGTACCTTTATTTTCTATGATATATGAAATGGCTTTTACCGTTATTTTTATCATGTTATCTTCCGTCATATTGATCATAGAGCCTTTCCTATGCATCATCCTTTTACGAACTTAATTGTATTTGTCTAAGTTGTATGATACTCTTGCATGTCTATCCAACGTTAAGGATAAGTCTCACTGTAATTTCTCAAAAAGAAAAGATGAGTTAGAAGAAACATTATACTAGAAATCTCACATGTAGATATTTTAGTAAACCCTTGATAGATAATATAAATATAGATAAACTTTATAAGCTCTGAATGATTATACAACAAAAGGTCTAACGCAATCCACCATGACTAGAAGTCATCATAAGTGCCCACATGATACTACTGCAATATAATAAAATGAACCAGCCTAAGATAATATCCCAAGACCTATCCATCAATGTGCTATTTGGATAGCTCTAGGATCCTGAAATAGTTGACATTATGCACTGTACTATATAACCAAAAACTCCAAAAATGACTGTCTAGGTAACTTGTTTTTGAGTAGTATTACCTTTATGCACTGCACACAACCTACATATATAAATCTAAAATAATCACAAAAGTCAATCAAGATAGGAGTGTCAACTCAACTATAAGCTCTATACGTGTTATGTAGAGCATGAATAAAACTAAAAGATATAGACATATAGAAATATTATATCAAACACCTTATATACAAATTTATATGATATTATACTCTACTTATTTCTTGAACATCTTCGTCAAAGACTTTGCGGACACTACATGTCCTTACCTTTATTAAATCTTTAATATTTTGCTTCGGTTGTAATGCACCTCTTAGCTTTCAATTACTATCTTTGATTCGATAGGACATCTTTGGTGTCTCAAGTAAAAGAATCAGATACATAATTGGGATAATAGAATCGCTATCTGATAATAAAATATCATAAGTAAAAGAATCAGATATATAATTGGGATAATAGAATCGCTATCTGATATAATAATAAAGTACCATTAATCATCTAACATTATGTAAGCGGATCAATCAGTGAACTTATTCTCTAATGAGTACCTGTATTGTATCCCTAGTATCCCCACACGAGTAATATAAGACCAACCACCTCCATTATATGGACGGATGTATATCGCACCAATATATCAAGTTATCTTGATGTTCCTTTTCGAGTAACCTTTGATCGAGATTATTTAAGGTATTTGTTTAAAGACGAATCGATCTCATTATCATGATCTCATCATGATCCGATTCTCATTATACATATCCATGAACATCACAATATATGTAATAGATATTATAAATTTTAAAATATTAAATAAATAATAAACAAAACGAGTGTCTCAACGGAAAAGAGTATCGTATATCTGACACATACTTGTAACCAAAGATATTTCCCATACATCGAGAAACATTTATGTGATTAAGAAATATGACAAGAATGCTAATCTTCCATGGAATTGCTGTCAACTTTACGACACGAAGAATTGCATGGATATGGGCAGTCGATCTTCCTTACAGCAGAACTCCGACCGAAGTACCAGTCTCCCACAGCCTTCCCAATTGGCTGCAAGAAAGAACAAATATGATCATCACTATGGAATTCCCATCTTCTGATATGAGCGATGAAGTTTTCACAGAGCTGCTAGAGCTTACAGTGTTATCGATCCTTGGAGAATCAGCTGCAAACCACGTATCCGCATCTCCAGATTGGCAATGAGTGTGGCAGGAGAGGATGAACATTCCCGTAGACGAGCTGCCTGCCCCCGGCAGTGCGTTCAGGAACGTTGTCCTGAAACCTGATATCGACGTATTAGCTCACTCTTTGCACACGAAGAATAAATTAGCAGTTGACATAAATCCAGAATTACAACTATTAATAGTCGCCAGCTGATCTACAAGTTCTTCAAAGATCAGTTTTTGAATCGCCTAACGTAGACAGCCACTGACACATCACACCCGACAAGTGAGACCTGGTCCCACGGGTCGATGACATGGCATAAGACGATCACATGAGTTCGGTCACACAACATTGACTTAAAGGTTGAACCGATAAAATTATTACTTTATAATTGTGTACGATCTCATGACTCATTGATGGTCATTTATCACGTCATATAAAGGCTCTCTAGACGTGTTCTCTTGAACTTAGGTAATTAACCGAGTCTTCCTAACTATTACTAGCTCAAGTATCAAAAGAACATTTTCGGATATACCTCCGATGTAGCTCTTTGTAGGTTCTATGCCTAAGTTCCCGGTACCTCAGCTTAAGATAAACTTGAAAATAGATATCGATTGATTTCGAACCCGAACACACACATGTTGGACAACGAAAACATATATGGTAACACCAACCTTGCAGTGTCTGAAGTTGATCCGAGGAACATTTCTTGATATCGAGCTTGCAGTCTCCCCAAGTCTTATTAGTATCAGCAGAGTTTGGCACTAAAATATTTCTGATCTGCGAATAGGTAACACACGTCACACAGTAGAAACCTTCACGAGAGTGGTTAATAAAATAATATAGCTCATTAAAGTTATAACCTGCCATTGATCGTATGCTGCATTGAGTATAAAAAGGGGTGTCTTCATTGTGGCCACCACGTTCTGCGGGAAAAAGCACTGCATGTATTCACGTAACCAAAGAGTAAGTCAGATGACTTGAGGTCTTCTGCATTCGTTCCAGAATGAAAGTATACTTCCCACCTTGTTTGCTGGTAAGCTCGACGTGCATGAAGATGGCAAATTATTTGCTGATGCCTTCAAAACCAAAAGCCACCACAGAATTATCATCACAAAAAGATTGGAGGGAGTCATCAATCAAGAGCATGGAAGGTCAGAGCATACATGAAGATTAATAACATCACTATAAAAGGATAGGATCGAGTCTGCTCCAGAAATATCCTTCCTGTTCATAAAAACCATAGTACTGGTTAACGTCAGAGCCAGAAAGAGACTCAGAGATCACAATCAAATTAACATATATTAGGTTAGACATCGATTCAATCTAAAAGTTTAAGCCATTTGAGTACAGACAAAACCTAGTATATGTAAACTTAGCGATAAACGACTATCCTCTCAATCCAGCTTTTTTATCTTATAATATTTTTGGTTTAGCTCTCTTTATCTCGTATGTATATATGTGAATATTTGCAACAGTAGCCCGACGATGAGATTCGTGACGCGGAATAAAGATGTAGAACTTACGCATCAATGAAATAACCAGCATCGGAGAAGCATTTCACTGTTGCATTCGCTGGGAGAAGACTACGGAAGCTGTCACAATGTAGTATGGTTGTCAATCCACCTGCTGAGCAACCACCGAGAATTGCCTGCGAGCATTCGCCAATGTTAGAACAGAAACTTTGAGAGTGATAAGACTTGACCACTTGACATCCACATACGTTTTGTGCTTTGTTCATCCCCCTCGCCAATAGATCTTTCATAATAGCTCGCCAAACTCTGGCTCCTCTGAAGTAGAGACCTGTAGCCTAATCAAACGAAGATGTGAAAGACATGTTATCGATACAGCGTTGCTTAGCAAGGAAATGAAACATATATCAGAAGGAGCATCGGATTAGGAGCTCACAGGATCTACTTTTTCTATGTCCCCTGTAAATGAGGCACCATCACAGTACCGAATCTTGACCCGGTTCCAGTTATAGAAGTCTGCAAGCATTGCAAGAATCAAAGCAAATAATAAGACAGCAAAAGCTCCATATTATTATTGTTGTTGTTGTATTCGATGGCATCATTCGAATGATACAATGAAAGTTAAATGTGACATGCATCAAGAAATTGTGTTAATAGTACATTGGTAGAGAAGGAAGACTAATCATACCAGGATTTCTTTCCTGAACGCCTCCTAACATGCCAGAGAAGGAGACAGGCGGCATATGATTAGAG